CCCTGCTGACTGACTCTCAGCTTTCAGCTGCTCTGTGTTCATGTGGTGGTGCTATGTTCTGACATCAGGCATTCCAGCTGAAACACAAAGAGGCTTTGGTGGTAGCCGTGGTCATGGGTACATGTGTGCTCTGGTTCCTGCCTGCAGTCCAGCTGTTTGTTATGTGCCCAACCAGCTTCTTGGTGGACATCACCAGCATCCCTTTCTTCATTTAATAACACACTTCCCTAGAGCATGTTGCAAACCATCAATTTTCATTCTGCTTTCCTCCGTTAGGCTTGAGCTTTGTGAGGAAGACGACCCCTTTCTTCCCATGTGCTTACCTGTGCATCAAAGGGCACTTCGAGACTTGAGTATCCCTTGGAATTAACAGTGCAGCCACTGCTCTGAGGCCCTGTGGATGGGCAGGATGTTTTAGTAGCTGTTCTGGTTCTGACAAGCATTACCTGCTTCCCAGAGAGACTAGAGGGTGTAGTGCCTGGTGATACCATTTCCAGCGTTTCTGTTGGAAGTGCTCAGGTTGCTCCTCATGGAGGGACATGAGGGTGGCAGATATGAACATGCCCTTCTGGTCTCCAGCTGCCAGTACCCGGTATCACTGCTGGGACAGATGAGCATTTCTGTCACGTGGTGGAGCATACTTGGACGCTCACACGTGGTAGCTCTTCAGGACCCTCAGTCACGTAGCAGAGAAAGCTCTGAGCTTCTTGGGCAGCAACAGGTTGTTGAGGGAGAGGAGGCTCCGGGCTGGATGAATCGTTTTGATACGGTTTGCAGTTGGGGCACATCTGGGCAGTGAGCATGTCCACAATCTCATCTGGCCTTAACCTCTCTGAATTTACAACTACTTGGGAAATCTCATTTCACTCACTCTTCTGAAGAGTCTCTCCCCCTCCCCTTCCCTGTCCCCTTTAAATAGCACTTAGTGATTTATCATTGACAAAAAGGGTTAATAGCAATTCATGAAATGAAGACAGCATTTGGAGACATCCATCAGGTCTGCTAATGAGGGAGCTTTGACCAATCCTGGACACAACAAATGAATTACAAGCATCATGCAGACTGCTGCTGTAAGGACTGCCAAAGCTTTGCAACTCATTGTTTGAAGATTTGATTAGAATATTATTGGGGTATGTGTGTATATATATATGTGTGTGTGTGTGTGTATATATATATGTGTATACACACACACACACATATATATGTATATACAAATATTTAGCTTTATGTCAAGGATTTGCCTTTGTGTAATTTAGTGTTTTTCTTCTGTTTTCTTCCTTCTCCATGTGCCATATTGAGTCTACAATGAACATCCTGCTGAGACCCAAAAGAGCACTTAGCATCCCTGATATAGTGCTATTCAAAGACCTATGGGATTTTGGAGAAATGGAGGGGAAATGCCAAATAACCTAAGAGCAGCCAGCAGAAAGAGAGAGAACGAAAATACATTCATAGTGTACAGAGATATTGGCTGTTACCAGAAGAATGGATGCAAGGACTATGTTGATGGACAATCAATTAATGTTGATGAAGTTCTCACTAATTTGGCTTTTCTGGTCTCCAGGATCGTACTTTCTGTAGGCTGTTATTAAGCTGCTGGAGTTTGAGCCTTTGTCAGCATTTTATGATATAAATTCTGTGTTTTTTTTTGTTTATTAGGATTTTATAATTCAGCTGTGGAAGTTGGCTTTAGCTTGATAAATGTAATTCAAATTCTACTCTTAGGAGACTGCATTTTTTTTTTTAAATATGGTTTTACCTTATCAAAGTGTTTCAACATCTTAAGCTGGTAGGGAATATTAAAACGTAAACGTAGCCTCTTTCTTCTCAAAATTTTCCCAGACAAGGTACAGATTGCTTGAATAGATTTAAAAAAATAAATTAATAAAAATAAAGCATTGACCATAAAGATAGCGGGCAGCTTGTTTATGCCTTAAACGGAGTGGGGAGAGCAGTTGTGGGGAATGCAGAGAGAAGCTTACGGAAGCTGCTCTGGGGCCTTGCAGGCCGCTCCAGGGCAGCTTGGAGGCCGCTGTGCTGTGAGGACGATGTGTGGCCCTGCACTACAAGCAGGTTGAGGGGTGCGTGGGGTGGGTACGTGGCACGTAGTTACTTTTAGGGAGGAACCTGACACAACCACAACAGCAGTGTTGCCAGTCTGGAAGGAAGGCGACAAAATAAAACATGAGGCAGGCCCGGCTGAGGAATGGCAGTAGATGCTGGGCAGGAGGCCAGCTGCCGCCTCCTTTTTGCTTTCTGGTCATGCAGGGCTTCCCATGGGGGTGATCAGCCACAAGAGCCCGGGTGTTAGCAGACTGACTAAACTGGTTATTTACTCACTAAAAAATGCTGGCCTCCAAGCTGCTCAAGTTGTTTGCAGTTAGTCCGTGTGCCTCCTTTGGGAAGAACCCCCAAGCTGCCGTGGTGGATGTGCAGTTGCCGAGCTTCAGGACTCGGGATATCAGCAAACTCGCTGGCTGGAGGAAGGGCACGGGGCCTTCCTCACTGGGAAAGGGAATCCCTTTGGAATGAAACTGCCTTGTAAAAAAAGGCAACTCACTCAACTGGGTCTTTAGATGTGCGAGTGGCACCCTACTGTGGACGTAACAAAGCACAACTTGTGTGTTGGAAGGGAAACACTTGGCTTGCAGAACTGTTAGGCAGTAAGTGGTCCAGGTACCAGGAATCACAGAATCACAGAATCCTTAAGGTTGGAAGGGACCTTTAGAGGTCATCTAGTCCAACCCCCCTGCCCACACAGGGTCACCTAGAGCACGTGGCACAGGACTGCGTCCAAGCAGGTTAGTAACTGAGGGAGAATGTCTTTCTAAAAAGGTAAACCCAAATGCTTATTTCTGAAATGATAAGCAGTGTAGCCTGATCCTGTTTTTGCAATTACTTTCCAGACCAGAACAGTGCTTTGATTTCTCATCACAGCTGACTGAAGGGAAAAAAGTATGGAAACGTTTCTTGTCAGGTGAGGTCATGGCTTAGCAGACATGAGTGTCAATATGTGACCTTTCACGTGTCACCTTTTTAGCATATTTTCTGGAAATAATAGAGACCTTTAGGTATCTATTATTGAGTCCCTAGCAAAGTAAGTATTGGTGAGGGGAAATTAGATTAGATATCAGATATCACACTTAGCATCAGGCTGAAATAGCCTCTTCAATTCTTCCAGTTTTGTGCAGCTACTGCTGGAATTTCAGCTTGGCCAGGGTGACTTTAGCTGAAGCAAGAGGTGAAGCTTTAATTGCTTTGATATTTGGTTCACACTGTTATATGTAATTTAGAGTTAATTTTCCCATTGTACAGAAACTCTGGAGGTTTTCTTTTTTTTTTTTCTCTTTCTTTTCTGTTCCTTATCAGATTGAAGACAAGGCCATTTGACTTTCTCATTACAGAAAGAGAAGGAAACTAAGATTTGTGCCTAGGGCACTCCCTTGGGGAATTTAGGTTCAAAGCTAGGCTTTACCATGGAGCTTGCTGAGTGGTGTTTCTCTTTCACCCTTCCAAAAGTTTGTTTCCTGTATTTCTCCTGATTTACAGTAATGACTAAATGGATATACGTTTCAGAGAGACTGAATGGTTAAATGGGCTGCCCAACTTCTGCCCTTCTATTTTAACCCCAACCTCTTCTGACTGCTCTATGGAAATTGAGTGGTTCAGTTAAATAGATGATTTAAAGTGGGCCTTTGAAAGCTCTACCCATCTTATATTCTTAGAGATGGATGGGATTGTGGAGGAAATAATTGTACATGACGTGGAAAAGAAAACGCACAACTAGCAACACCTCCGGCGTGCAAATAAAGATACCTCTTGTCTGGGTTGCTAGACAGGAGAGGTTATTTCAAGTTCCCCTAGATAGATTTTTTTTTTTTTCCCACTCAAAATGTCAAGTGCAAGAATAAACAGCATCCTCACACTGTATGAAAGTGTAGCTGAAAGACTGAAAAATGGTACTTGGAGCTATTTATTCTTCTTGTCAACTTTCTGATCAGTTATATAGACATTTGCAAGTCAAAAATATTTTTTTGGTTTGTTTTTTTATTTTTTCCTCCCCAAATACCTAGCTCTGCAAAGTCATTGTGAAGGGTGTTCCTCTCTGCCTGTTTGCCGTGCTGCTTGTGCAGAGGAGAGAGAAGTCAGCAGCTGAAGGACAGGCTGCGCAGCCAGCTTGTGCGTTAGGGCCAGGTCATGGGGAATATTCTGTGTTGCAGTATGCTTCTGCTTTGTTTTCTATTTAAAAAAAAAAAAAACAAAAAAAAAACAAAAAAAAAACACTAGCTTGCAGGCAATACGTTCACCTTCAGCAGTATGTGCTGTGCTCCGCAGGAGCTACTCGCCGACCATGCGTTGTGATGGGAGCGTGCTGCTATCCAGCACGGAAGAAGCAGTGGAAACCCTGGATTATGTTTGGGTAGTGACCACATCCCCTGAGGGCTCCGGGTCGTGGTTGGGCATAGCCCCCATTGCTGGCCTCTTCCTGCACCTTGATATTTTTCTTTTTTTATTTGATTTGTTATCGTTTATCGTGACTGGAGGAAGCCTCACGAGTGGAGGCTTCCACTCTGCAAGCTCCGCTGACAGCCGCGTTACTGAGCTGCCAGGCAGGAAGGACAGGACTCGGCCTTTTGTGACTGTGTTAGCTACGCCGTGGGGACGTCCTGTTTTCTTTAGCTGAGTGAGCAAGTCTAATAGAAAAACTTGTTAAGGAGAACGTGCTCGTTTTACTTGATAGCGTTTTGAAGCATGGCCAGTTTTTTCAAACTGCGCTCTGGAGGAAGGAATTCTGAAGAGAAGTCATAACGTGTAACTAGGAAAAAGACACAAAGGCAAATGCTTGAAAAAAAAATGACAGTTATGTGCTTAATGTTGATCTGTGCTTGCTTTAAACACCTTCCCCTCAGTCTGTCATGTGCTGTGGACATAACTGAGCTCTCATATTTAAAGATCACAACTTCACTGCAAAATCTATGCAAAATCTATTAGGAAAGAAGGATGATCCCATCAGCAGCAAGTTCCTGAGATACCACAGAAACTAGTGGTTAAAGCACGAGGAGCTTCAGAACTTAATACTTTTCCTCGGCTTTTGCCTTAAACCCCACAACTGTGTTGATGTCAAAGACAATCTTCATGAGGTTAAATGAGATGGCAGATTTTGTCACATGAGAGATGTTTTTCCCTCCTCCTCTCTGTTGTTTATTTTGGTTTGGTTATAGTTTTGTGCCTCACATTGGTGTTATTGTTTCAGGTTTCCGTTGTGAGCAGTGCAGAGAAGGAGCCATGTACTCAGGTGCAGTGATATCTCCCAACTTGGAAACCACTAAAATCATGCGAGTTCCCCACGCTGTGTCCATGTCCGACTGCCTGGCAGCCTGTTGTGACCTCTCTGGTTGTGACTTGTCCTGGATGTTTGAACGGCGCTGTTACATCGTCAACTGTCAGTACAAAGAGAACTGTGAACCAAAGAAAATTGAAACGGTTAAGTCCTATATTACTTTTGTGCTGAGGCCCTCTCAGAGGCCAGCCTCACTGCTGGGCTATGGGCAGGTGATCCCAAGCATGGGCCACGCTGTGGGACTCCAGAACGAGCCCTCTGAGGAAGTGAGTAGCCTGAAGGAGCTGTCGCTGCTTGGCAAAGATCCCAGCCTTGAGGAGATACCAGAGTACATAGATGATTACAAGGAGCTGGAGCAGGACCCCTTTCAGATTGGCATCAAACATGAGCAGAAGGAGAGCGCAGATTATGCTGACTGGAGCTTGATGGTGACAGATGAAAATGGCTTCAACTCCTCAGTGGGTGACGATGGAGATAATCAAGAGGACTTGGCTGAAAAGGACAGGGAAGCTGTGATGACAGACAGTGTCCTGAATAAAAACAGTTCTGAACTGAGCCCTGTCATGGAGCACTCCCTGGAGAGGTTGCTGCCTGTCCCAGAGAGCACGCCGCTCCCGGTGAAGACACTGGAAAGCGAAACAGCTGCTCAGCTGCTCGCCCAACCTGAGGATGCTCTGCAGAAAGAGGTACGTGTGGCCCTCAGCACCCACGGAGAGGCTGCTGTGGCTGCCCTGCAGATGGTTGTGTTTGTCAGAGCAAACAGGGTTATTGATTTGAAACATAACCCTGGGGAACTCGAGGACAGTCTTGCAGTCCTGGCTTACAGGACTGCTCTGAAAAGCACAGAAAAGACTGAAGTGGGGCATTTTGTCTTGCTTAAAAAGCAGCTGAATCTCTGAAGGGCACCGTCTATCAGATGATGCAGAGCAGAGCTCTTTCTAGGAAACTTCAGGGTTTCCTTTGAAATTTTTAGATGTGTGAGCTTGGATCAGATGTGGTAGCACTCTTATGGTGTTCTGACTTTTTTTTTTTTTTTTTAACCTCAGGTCTTGCTGTGACTTGGTAGAAGTAGTTAGCTGAGCAATATTAGTGGCCCCTCTGGGTCCCCATGGCCTAGGCCAGGAACTGTTCTCTACTTGCAGCAACCAGTTCGGTCACTTGGGACTAACAGGGGTCTATTCCCTTCAGGACAGGGAGACACCACCTGGGAAACTGAAGCAAACTATATAGCCAACATGTGCTGATGTTTATTTTGTTTGCTTGTTTATTTGATTTTTGAGCGGGCTTTTTTTTTTTTTTTTTTTTTTTTTTGACTCTGGAAGAGCTGTGAATTTTGGTTTTGGGGCTTGTCGTTTGAGAACACTCTGTATGTTTCCCCCTTGAGGAGCAGCACTGAGACATCAAAGATAAAGTGAGTGCTCTGTGGAAGGGCTGTTTGCCTACTGACAACAGGAAGGTCCTCTCCTTTAATAACTCACTGTATGGGTTCACCTTGTGTGTAATGTTTGCTTAATTTCACTCGGTTCCTATGAGAATATTGTTGCATTGGATGAACTGTGTTATATTTTGAGATGAGGATTATGTTATCTTGGATTTTTGATTGTTTGTCTTTGTGTAGGATCACCAATGAGGTGGACCTGGAGCTAAATTGACCAGTTGTATTTGTTGCCTTTTTTTTTTTTCTGTGACATTTGTTGAAAGCTGAAAATAGTGTGTTCTTGTTGAATGAGTCATTGTAGTACAATCTTTGGTTCTGGTTTGTAATTGAGTAGTTTTCCTGTTCCGATTTTGGTGATGGGTGATATGTGACAAAAACTTACGGCCAGCAAGAATTTTCTTTTGTACTTACAGTAAATACATCTGAAAAGCATTTCTTTTTGGAAGTTATGGTATCTTTCTGGAGAAATATATATACTGTTGTGAGGGAGAATCATCTTCAGGCTGATTTGTTTTGGAGTGTATGTGGTGGTTTCTCAAGGATTCTTTTTGGAGAAAGGTTTGGTGTTCTGGTGACTGGAGGTTTTATGGAGATTTCAATCTGGGGTGCTTTTTATTTAGTAGCCTGTAGGTTGTCATTTTTCATGTCTGGGAAGTTCATATTGTTGTAGAAGTAGTCCAAAGACAATCTGAAAAGTTAGAAATTACTGGATTTGAGTTGCTGTGTAGTAGCAGTTAGAAATAGTTTAGTCTTTACACCAATTACTCTAATAATATAATTCAGTTCTTCCTGTAAATCCTTCCCCATATTTTTAGGTATTGCACAGATACAGTGTAACTATTTCTTTAGTTTATATGTGTTTATTCCTGAATATAAAGCACTCTGTAAATGCAAAATATTAGTAAAAATTACACGGTCCTTTTCACCATAAAAATTGTGTGCTCAGATACCAAATTTGAAAGGGTGACCGGCTTCTTGCAAGCCTACAGGAAAAAGTAGATGGTGATGCACTCCATGTACTCCAGGGGTGTGCATGTTACCAGCCTTCACAATCCTATGCTACTAAGAATTTATGTATCAAAAAAAAAAAAAAGGCAATGTCAGGACCTTCATGTGCCACAGTTGCCATGACTGGCAAAGTGCTTTTCTCTAGATACTGGGTCAGAAGTTGGTCTTGAAAGAAGCTGTTAAGGAAGAGCTATTGGTGTGTTCAGACTAGCATTTCCTGCATTTCCTTGGAAGGTGTTGGGGAAGCAGGTGGCCTGAGAGAAAGGTAAGGTGAGAGGCATCCTTTGGCAGATGTTCTGTATACAAAGAAAAACCTGATAACATAAATTAGTAGGCTGATCCTGCAGGCTATTGCATGCTATTAGCATATGCATACATATGCTGAAGAACAGTGTGTATATAAATCCAAAAATGTGAAAAATGGCTCATTAATGATTTTTTTTTCCTCTACAATTTATCTTACAGTTTCCTGAGCCTTCCCCTCCTTCAGACATCTTGGGATTCTCCTCAGCTGCAGGGGAGAAAATTCAGGCTTCTACAGCAATCCCAGGGAATCTCCCCGAAGATGGGACTGCACTGCTCCCCACTAGTATTTTGCTCTCCGAGCCCATACAGCAATTCACACCTTCTGCTACTGTAGCTCAAGCAGGTAACGTTTCAACATTCCTGAAGATGTGAGGGGTCAGACAGCGGGGGGGATGGCTTTCCTGCTGCCCGATGTTCATCCTGTTGTTAGCAGTGACCCTTTTCTTGTACCCCCCATCCAACATCATCGCAGTTTGCCAACAGTCCTGCTGTAATACTGCAAAATTCAGACCCCTTATCCAGTTGTTCTTGAGGCAAACCAACATCAGTGGGTGGTTATGTTCAGGTAAAGACAGCAAAGTAAAAAGCAGAGATCAAGAAGATTTTCTTAATGGGCTAATTTTCATACTGATTGAGAAATGCCTGAGGATTTTCTTGGGTTTGCATGGTTTCTGCTAGCCATGCTAGCCACCACAGTTGCTGAGGTGTGGCTCCTTGGAGCACTGCCTCCTCTCAGAAACTCTGCAGCAGGATTTCCACTAAATACAGAGGCGGCATGTAGCAACCTAGGTGAGACTTGAAGAAGTACTAGGCCCACACTTAATAGGAGAGAACAGAGCGACTTTATCCTGAAAAGAACCCAATATTTTGCTCTAATTCCAAAGTTGCAAAGAGGGTTATCAGGCTTTCATCTGCAGAGGAAAAGTTCTTATTTTGAAAAGATGATGTTTAGCTGCTCTGTCCTCTGTAGTTGCATAGGTTCTGTTTGTGTGATGGTTAAGCTTCTTTCTCCTGCTAAGACTCTGTGCTCAAGTGCATCCTGACAAAGGAGTAAACAAAAGAACAGAGAGTCAAAGAAGTGCATTTCATGGCACTCCTGAAATACTGAGTGAGATAGCCAAGTTCTTTGCTTCTTGGTAGTACCAACTTGGTTTGGGATGTTCCCGGAGTCATCTGTCAAACTAGAACCTTTGAGAGGAGGCAGCTCTAGGAGAAAAGCTGCAAAAATTCCCTTTCTAAAGTGATGGTCATCATTAGTGTCAGTGGTGACTGGGTAGCTCCTTCGTATGGGGAGGCTGGGGAGGACTCGGAAGAAGAAGCTGAAGGAAAGGTGGTCATGCATCTCACCATAAGCACCACTTTGTATAAGGATTGCTTCAGGTTTCTGTGCAGCCACACAGTTTCTGTTCAGCTGTGCTTACTAGAGTACCAAACAACCACAGAAATAGCATTTCTTGTGAAAGAAAGCACGATACCACAGATTTAGCGTGAACTATCTTACTTTATTTAATGAAGTTTTCTTGTGGTGGTGTTGTGGATTTGTTTTTGTTTTTGTTTTTTTTCCTTTTGAGCGTCTCCAATAGCAAAGCTATTAGAGGAGCTCTTTGTACTACTGCATTACTGGAATCACTGGGCGTTGTGACAACAGCCCGAGAACACACAAGGTTACGTTAGAAATGTGCTGTTGAGCATGACAGACCCTCTCAGCTTTGGAAATAGTGGCTGGGCAGGTGTGATCTGAGGCACCCTGTGGAGAGAGGCAGAGTGTCCTGGCAGGTGTTGTGACGGTGCTGACAGCGTCTGGGTTCTTGGCCACCAGCCGGGCTGCTGTCACTGTCTGTGCCACAGTCCTGCCCCACTATTCTGGTGGAGGGGATGCAGGTAACTTCTTGCCTTTTTGCTTCTAACACTACCAAGATATGGCCTCTCATGCTGTGCAGAATTCAAGGGTTTTGAGTATCCAGGGAAAACGTGGTATGAGTTACCCATTCCTCAAGTTCCACTCTGTGTGCCCACAGTACTCATTTTGATCTCCCACATGCCCTCTGTAATTGCATATTTTTGAACTCCCACGCTTCCACCCAGTTACTAAGAAAATATCTAATTCTTTTAAGAAAACAAAATCTTGTCTGTGGTATACAGGAGAAATGCAAACGTTATTTCTAAAACAGAAGGAGATAATGTTCCATTTCACTTTTGGGTAGGGAGAATAATTCTTTGAAACAAGTTAGTAAAAAGTCCATAGTCATGACTATCATTATTTGATTATTTATTGAGAAAAATGCTGTTTTTCTTACTTATTGTTGGCAAATGTGCTTTTGTACTTAATACAAATAGTATTTGAAGTTAAAAAAAAAAAAAAAAAAACTATTATCCCATCTTTTAAAACATAATATATTCATTCCGTCATAGATGCAGTAAAAGAGCTGATCGTGTCTGCTGGAGATAATGTGCAAGTGATGCTCCCCAAAAATGAGGTTGAACTGAACGCCTTTGTTGTCCCACCACCACCTACAGGTGAGCCGAATGGCCCTTGCACCTGAGGAGAGTCACACTACCAACCTGTAAATGCAGATGAGTCCTGAGTTATGTGAGCATCTGTCCCTTGGGATCCAATAGTCTTGTCTCTTCTCCTCATCCTGCTGCTTGGCTTATTTATTTGTTTATTGTGTGTCCAACTGCAGAGAGCATTTTATTATTTTAATTTTAGAGATTTTGAAGTGTCTTATTATCAGGACCTAGATTCATTAGCCAGATTACACCTTAGGAATTTCTACCAAGTGATGAAGTTTATAGTATCTTGCTGTTCGGGTTGGGTAGGGAAGTAGATTCTGAACACATTTACCTTAAAACTACCAGTTCCTGAGGTGCAGCTGCAAAGAAGAAATATTCTGTAGGTGGTTCTGCAGAGTGCATTCATTTCATGTGCAGGTGTTTTTTGGTGAAGAAGTTACTTACTTGTAAGGTCTGTTCCATCCTTGCTGTGTTCGAGCTCCAGCACCTTGCAGGGGCTTTGGCAGGCGTTGGTACTGATTCCTTTTGCAGGCTTGGAACAGTTGCAATCATGGTTTCTTACTCTAGTGTTTTGCATGACAGATGATGAACTCGATTTGTTTGTTTCCTGGGCTTATCTTGAAAAGATTTAATTATCACCGTGCTGTGGTTTTGTTCCCAGAAACAGCCTACAGCTATGAGTGGAGCTTAACCAGCCACCCTGCTGACTACGGCGGTGAAATGGAGCGCAGGCACAGCCAGACCCTGAAGCTCTCTCACGTAAGCGAGCTGCAGCCTTGGCCTCCTGCGGGTGCAGTCTTCTCTCTGGAGTTTGATACTGATGGTGAAGTGCAGCTTCGTTTGTAGAGTTCTAATGGCTCCCCGGGCCACCTTTCTTGCACCAACTCTTTGCTAGATTAAAACATCATCTTCAGAGCGTGTTGATAACTTTCTAAGACAAAATAAAAGTTCTTAAGTGTTTTCTTTGAAATTCCCACCTTCAGGTAGTGACCGGTGCCCTTTGTGTATGTGTTTATAAAGAGAGTTCTAGATTTCAGATGTCTCTCTATTTGCAGTGTGATTGGCACTTTGTATGCACATTGCTTGCGTGTAATTTGCCGTATAACTGCATTTGTTCTGTTTGTATCTCAGTTATCGGTGGGACTTTATGCCTTCAAAGTGACGGTTTCTGGTGAAAATGCCTTCGGAGAAGGTTTTGTAAATGTCACAGTCAAACCAGGTAAGTCAGTTGCTGAAATGATGAAACTAATTTGTTCAACGCAAGTAGTTGTTTTACTTGCTTGTCTAACAGTTTGTCAGTTGCTGTCTGTCAAGGACATCTTGTACCCAGTCGTGCAGAGGTGGACTTCATATCTTGCTGTCTTAAATGGGTTTTAAGAAAGTGTAGTTCAGGATCCCTTGCCTTATTTAAATGTTCTCTAGCCTGTACCCTCCTCAGGCAAGGCCTGAGATAGCCTTGTCCTCCCTTTTATGTTCCCCTTCTCCCATACAGTTAGATTAGCAACTAAGTGCTGAGCCGCAGCGTGCAGCACGCAGGTCTGCTCTAAATTACAGCGCGCTGTAAATCAGTAGATCAGAGCACTGCTCGTCACCACCTTCTCTCCCCCTTGTCCAGAAGTGACAGCAGACCCAGTAGAGCTGCTGCTCTTTGGGCTGGGTAGCTGGTGGCCAGGCTGGTCAGTGGAGTTAGCAGACTGGTGTTGCCTGGGTCTGCCCTAAATGTTGTTTTCTCTCCCTGTCTTGCTCACAGCGCTCAGAGTTAATCAGCCGCCCGTTGCCATTGCTTCACCCGAAGTACAAGAAGTTTCTTTGCCTACAACTTCTACTTTCATTGATGGCAGTCGTATGTACTGGACAGCCCTTTGTTTATATCCTGCATTTTTAATGTACAGTTGCATCACTGTTGTTCATCAGGAGCAAATGAAATTCCTTGCTCTCTCTGCTCTGCTTACAAAAGTTCCCTGGACCATGATCTATGTTGGGAGTTTGATTCCCCTTATAATTCTTAAAAGTTAATCAGATGGCGTATTTATAAGACATGAGGTTGAGTGAAATTGCTTCTAGAATTAGTTGCCATTTAAGTTTTTGTTGTTGTGTCTCTTGTTCTTTTCACCTGCAGCAAACTCGATTGCTTGACTTTTACGCGTTAAAATGTGTGAGACTATAGTGGAAAAATGCAGCTGTCCACTGGGAGGCTGCTACAAAGCTCAGCTAAGCTGGCAGCCTCCTCCTCCCCTGCCCAGGATCCCCATTGTAGCCTCTGTGCCAGGGCACGGCGGGGACATTATAGAGCTCTCCCTGTCACATAGGGTAGGATGAGACATGATGTTCATTACTGCTCCAGAGCGGACTCGAGTTTCCCGAGGGTTTGTTTTGCTGTGTGATTTGAAGTTGAGCAAAGGCAGGTTTACACCTCTGTGTTTATGGAGAGCAAACAAGTGTCAAGGTTCCGCATTTGTACATAAAGAGGCAGAAACACAAGGAGGCTGACTGAGACTCTCTGTGTGTGTGTGTTTTTTTGATTGTTTTTGAGAAATCATCCCAAATGTAACTCAGAATCTGTGATTTAATAGCTATGGTACTTGAACCCTGCTTAAATTTGCCCAGGAATATGCTCAGAAAGATTAATTGTAGAAAAACGATTAGGTATCAGCATGTAAAACTCTAGTCTTTATACCACAATTGCCACAATGTTCTGATTTTTTTTTCCTCTCTCTTTAATGAATGTAGAAAGTGTTGATGATATGAAGATAGTGAGCTACCACTGGGAGGAGATTAAAGGTCCTTTGCGAGAACAGAAGGCATCTGCTGACACTCCTGTCTTGCACTTGTCAAACCTGGTTCCTGGAAACTACACTTTCAGGTGTCTGCACAGATTCTTTCCTTCTGGGCTTTTAAGCATTTCTCTGATTCCAACTAGGTGTTTGCTTCTCTTTCTTGGGGCTCACATTTATCTCTTTGTCCTTCAGACAAAGGATTTCACTTTTTTTCTACATGCTTTTCCCCTTCACTTTGCACAATGGAAAACCATAGGGAACAGTCTTGTCAAGAAGCGTTTGCAGTGACTTTGAGACTGGTATAGCAACGCGTTGCAGCACAGGGTTGTGCAAAATGAGGCGTTAGAAATTCCGCACCTCCTGTTTCCTACGATAATAACTGGGAGAGAGCATTTTTGTTTTGATTTTTTTGTCAGCCTGGAGGTTGGCAGGCGTCCCGAGATGAGGCTGTGCAGGCAGGTGGGAGAGCCACGGCTGAAGGCTGGCGGCAGGCGGCCCACGCCGCGCGGGCTGATCCCCACCGAGCGCTGCGATGCGCTGATTTTACAAGCATCACTGTCTTCACCATAACAGCCTCTTCATTGCCGCAGTTTCCCTCAATTATGTCTTGCTGAAGCTGGGTCTCACCCAGACAGCAGAAGCAATTTTTGTGATTCTTGAATCATTTGAATTCAAGCACCATTATCTGAGCTTTTGAGATTTCAAGCTGGTCCTGGACTTGTTCGCAGTGCAGACTGGCACTTGTGCCTGTGGGTAACAGCCTGCCAGTCAGCCCAGTATGTGTACGGGTAGAATCAGCAGGTTGTGGAAGTCTGTTGATGGCCAGGGAACATCTATGTTAACTGTGGTGCTTCGCATAAGCCTCACAAAAAACTGCATAGCTCCAGTTTCTATTCTCTGTTCTTTACTGGAATTGCTTCACGTTATGCAGTGGCAGGATAAGAGCAGCGTCATTTCTGTATCAGAAAGGACAGAACACACTTACAAGTAGGAAAATTAAGAAAACACTTCAGCAGTATGGAATTAAGAAGTCATGTCTTACATCCATGCACATCTTAGGGAGGTTGAGCAATACAGAAGCCTGGGGAAACTCATAGGAGATCCACTGGTGAGCAGAATCCAGTGACTTCCATGGCTGCGTGTCCACTGCACAGATATGCTTTCCCTAATAACAGTTAATGAAGCTTTTCCTAGTTGGGAATAAAACAAGATCCCGTTGAACACCCGCTTCGTGTGTTCAGCGGTACGCAGCAGTCACAAGAGGTAAATTAAACTGTGGTCAGTCACTGCTCTGCGAGAGGTAGCCTTGCTCACCACTCAGCAAGAGGTAGCTTCGCTTTCAGGTGTCTGCAGCAGTTTAAGATAATTTGTCATTGTGTTTCTGAGAGGTGATAGAATTTAATTAAACTCTGAGCTTTCATTTACTTTTGTGACTTGACACCACCTTCAAAAAATCTGGGTGATCCTAAGCTTCATTAAAATAAGTAGTATCCTGCCACAAAGGAATACAAGTTATGAACTGTCAGTGTGCTGTCAAGCAGAGCTGCTGAACGTTTGGAGGAGTTCTGGGTGAGGTAGTACCAGCTGTTGAATGAAGTCCCCTGCTTTTTACTGAGTAACCTTTTTAAAAAAATATCCAGGGAAATCCTGGCTTTGACTGAAGTCAGTGATAACTTCAGTTTCAGGAAGCAGGTTTCATCAAGGCTCCAGAATAGCTTTTTTTTTTTTTTTTTTTTTTTTTTTTTTTTTTAAAGTGATGGAACATTCTTTGAATTTCTTTCCTACCGTAGTTCAGGGCTATGTGTTTCTAAAGCAGAAGTTAGTATGATCCAGATCAGTGGCTTTGGTTTAGGTAGTATTTTTTTCTCTGCTCTAATGCTAGAGACGTGTATCTTTGAATTCAGCGCTTGGTGCAGCCTAACAGATTTTTTAGCATCATTTTTCCTACTGCAGACTCACGGTGATCGATTCTGATGGAGCAGCCAACTCCACCGTTGCCTCTCTGACTGTCAGCAAACCCGTGGATTACCCACCCATTGCCAATGCAGGGCCCAATCAGGCAGTCACCTTGCCCCAGAACTTCATCACGCTGAACGGAAACCAGAGCAGTGATGATCATGAAATTGTCAGCTATGAATGGTCACTCAGTCCCAAAAGCAAAGGCAAAGTTGTAGCAATGCAGGTAAGCACATTTTTCCTTGCCTAACATTATAAACTCTCTTATCTTTGCCTGTAGAAAGAGCAAACGCATCCAAGGAACTATTTAGAGCACTAAAGTATCTGTAGAGTTATGTGACTCTCTTTTGTTCTTCTCTGGTGTGTTGGTGTTTTTCAATACTACTTTAATTCCTTCTCACTGTTTTGTCATTTTTTTTTGTCATTTCTTTCTGGCCTTCTTTTTGCCTTCCCTGGTGCTTTGGAAGGAACTTCAGCACCCAGTGTCTGTCCTTGGACCCTGGGACCTGCTCCGCAGGCTTGTCGCTTCTGAAGGAGTTCACAGAAAGAGTTGTGGTGGTGGTGGTGTTGTTTGTTTGTTTTGTAGCATTTCTTTCTTTCTTCTGGAGAAAGTAGGACTCAAAAAGGAGCTTAACTTTTGAGTGAAAAATGAATTTTTTTTGGCAGTTTCCTGCAGCTTCACTCAGTGATATACATATATATATATACACACACACACACACATATATATATACGTATATATACACATACATACATATATATACACACACACATGTATATGTGTATATATATGTACGTATATACACACATATATACACACATATATACACACATATATACACACATATGTGTATATACACACATATATACACACATATGTGTATATACACATATGTGTATATATATACATATGTATATACGTGTATATGTATGTATGTATTTCTCTTTTATGTACAGGAAAACATTGGTTTCCTGTGAAGGCTGAGTGAATTTTTAAGGTGGCCTTACCTCTCTGTGAACTCAATTAAGGGTTGTCAGGGGCCTTTTGCACGCAGCGAGTTGTGGATTCTTGTAGCTCTGCAGGTAGTTGAGAATGGCTCAGAACTGGCCTTTTTCAGGAACCTTGAGCTCTTCTATGTTGAAAATGCAAGTGTTTAAAGACTTCTTCAAAACTGGGAAGAAGTCACTTTGTGTAGATCAATTTAGAAACAGAGTTAAACTGATGCGAGACTATAATGTGGAGCCAATTATTAAAATATGAAAGTGCTTGTAGCATAATAGCCCATTTCTGTTCATTTATCAACTGAAGCACTTTCCTAAAGCATCCTTGCAGCCTGAAGTTTTAGCTTCTGAGAGCTGTTCAGGTCTGAAGTAACTCTTCTGCAAGAAAGGGATAACTACTGGAGATATATAAAGGATTCATTGGGTGTTTAGTGGTGGGATCCAAGAGCATTTTAATTTTATTTTTTTTCTTTTCCTCCAAAGATTAAGTAATTCTTTTCATGGCCCTAAAGTTGAAGTTAAGGTTATCTGGAGTGTTACATGGAATTAATCTACAGTTTCATAAATAACTCTGGTTAGTTAATCTTGTACTTCAGTGCTCATTATCTTTATCCAGAAAGATACATTTAATTGTATCGTGGTTTGTTATTGCTCATTTGAATTATATCACTTTTTTTTTTTCTAAATAAAAGAACCTGTATGGGTCTGTTTCTAAGCTTGTATATCAAGCAATTTTTCAAAAAGAGAGGTAGGGAAAATACCTGTAAAGCAATTCTGCTCTTGGACCTGGAATAGAGAGCATGATTCCTGTTGCTTCAGTGAAATGAGAAGGAGAGTATTTTGTAAATTAAACACTGTTCTCACAATAGTATTGCTAAAAGACTACGTTCAGCACCACAACTCTGTCCTGTTTAATGTTTTTTTTTCTCCTTAAGCGTATCTGTCTGATAGTCAAAGTTGTTTTTGTGTTTAACAGCATTTAACAGCTTTTTCTATCACTAAGTTTTATGTTAAAGAGTTTCATGCTGTTTAAAGAAAAAAAGAAGATAAAAATAATCGTTAAGGAAATGGAATAAGCTGTAATATCATTCACCAGTGTTTAATTTGCTAGTTGAGAAATGCCCTATGTATTTCACAGACAGTTCTTGCTGTTGGGAAATAATGCAGCGGTTACAGCAACATTAAAAGAAAAAATAAGTTTACTGTCTATAAATATTTCTCTGGGTTATTACAGGGAGGTGCAATACTAGATACATTGCATCTATCCATGTGTGGAGCTTGGAAACTCCGTGTCGTCAGTAACGTACCCAAACTGCTCGCTTAGATCCTGTTAACTAGGAACCAAGAGGAGCGCTGGCTTCCTCCCTCGCTCGCCCCTCTCGCGCGCCGCGTGCGTCGTCCCTGCTCTCACGCCCGCTCTCTTGCCCTTCCCTCGCAGGGCGTGCGCACTCCCTACCTGCAGCTCTCGGCCATGCGCGAGGGCGACTACACCTTCCAGCTGACGGTCACGGACTCGGCGAGGCAGCGCGCCACGGCCGAGGTCACGCTCATCGTGCGGCCCGGTGAGTTCCCCCCGCCGCGCCGCGTGGGCCCTGCTGCACAGAGGTGCGCGCAGAGTGGGCCTTCACGGCCGGAGAGGTCGCTCTGCCTTCAGCATCCTGCTAAGCTTGTTCTGCAGAGCGGCTCAGCGCGTGAGTCGGTGCTCTACCCCAACCCACTGCTTCGCAGGTCACCCTCAAGAATCCTTCTGTGGTTGGAATTCTCACTGGAAATGCAACACATTTTTGGGGGGGGGGAGAAGTCAAGCAAGGTGTTTGCAAAGCTCCTGCTTTCACACAGTTTTCTGGATTTGGGGACTGTGTGGTAGGAACCCAAATGGTTCAGGCCTCATTTTTTTCATGTCATTTTTTGGCAATGCGTTTGCCAATTACACATTCTTGCATTTAAGGTGGCTGTTTTGCCCATATGTGAAGATCTCCCGCTCCACCTTGGGGTAATGTTATTTCTTCCTCTTGTTGCTCATTACTCCGTTTTTGTAGCTGATGTCTCCTGGGGAAACTTTACAGTGGGCAGAAATCAGGAACGGGAGCTGCAGGTGGAGCCTGCAGTGCTCCTTTTCATATCCATGATAATCGGGCTCTGCAAAGGGCTCTTGTGCTGTTGCTGTCAGTTTTAGGAAGAAATAAATATCCAGGGCAATGGTAGCACTGCCAGTTTTAGGAAGCCACGATAGCAAATGTTGAAAGCAGAAAAACTGGTCATATGTTTCTGCACTAAATCCTCTAAATCAGCAGCAACTTAGTGGTGATGCTCTAACCTCAAGTAGCCAAAAAACTTGGGACCATCCCTTATGAAGGGAATGCAGTGGTGGAACCAGAGGAATCTCCCATTGCTGTTACTGTAAAATATTTTGATATGATGCACTGAGCATACTGCCAAGGTCTTGAATTGTGGCTGTGAAAATGCTGTGGAATTTTGGCTTATTGTGGATTTTTTAAAGAGTTGCCTGGTAGTTTTTTTTCTCTCATTTGTACATATGCTGTACTCGAAATTTATGCCCTTCAGACAACAGATGAGGCCTGTAATCTATCATAGAATCATAGCATGCTTAAGGTTGGAAGGGACCTCTAGAGGTCATCTAGTCCAACCCCCCTGCACACGCAGGGTCACCTAGAGCACGTGGCTCAGGACTGCGTCCAAGCGGGTTTTGAAGATCTCCAGAGAAGGAGACTCCACAACCTCTCTGGGCAGCCTGTTCCAGTGCTCTGTCACCCTCACTGTTAAATCATTCTGTGTTTGCTATTGGCTGTCCTTTGCAAGTGATTAGCTGGTAAATGTGATACTTTTCAATACTATTTTTTACAGAAAATAACAGTCCTCCAATAGCAGTGGCTGGTCCTGATAAGGAGTTGACTTTTCCAGTAGAAAGTACTACCCTGGATGGAAGCAAAAGCCAAGATGACCAAGGCATTGTCTTCTATCATTGGGAAAATATCAGGTATAAGACAGATTCTACTAATATTAAAAAAGGGAACAGAGTGCAAGTGCTTCACATCCAGAGCTGCCGGCCTGACTGTGTTGGATGGTGTAGGGTTTGTGAGCTGCTGCTCTGTGTCTCCCCTTTCTCTGCTGGCAGCAGGGATGGAGAGCAAAGAAAGTCAGCATGAAGATTTGAAGCAGGATGGGTGCTGACTGAAAATTCTCTTTCTGTTTTGAGCCAAATGTTGGCAATTTTCCATGTGCTAACAAATGGGAATTTCACGGGGTAGTATCATCGCATGCAGTCCGCAAGGTAAGATCGCTGCCTGATGCTTTCCTTTTGCTCCTCCATGCCCTCCATAAAGCTTTGGGGAAAGAAACGTGCTGGGCTTCCTGGGGGCTCTGAGAGTGGCTCTCTCACTTGTGGTGAGAGATGGGAATTCTGCATCCAATTTGGAAAGCTTGGGAGATTCCTACTAAGGCTTTGCACTGTGTCATCTTGAGGCAGACTGTTATGAAAATACTGTGTGAGGAAATGACAGGAACTTGCATATCTCACACTGGAAAAAGTAAATACCAGGCCTGGGTACTCTCCTGTAATGCACAAAGTTCTCCCACCAGCGTTTAGAACTTGACTTTCTTGGTCACTTTTACTTATTGAATAATAAAGGAAATTCCTAATCCATTTAGCCTAGGCCTCAGTGGGATTGTAAACTGGACTGGTTTTATTGAAATAGTCGATAACTTAAAGTTTCCCTGAACAATGTTTGAAAATGCTTTATAAATGCTGTTAATGGTATGTTTGCATGCAAAACTAACCTATCCTCAATGAAAGAAGAGGATATTAGCCCATGCATCTATCATATCAGTGTACAGGAGGAAGTTTTGCTGGCATCCTGTGTTGCAAGAATCTCCTGGAGCAGCAGGGTTTGCATGTTCCAGAGAAGGAGCACAGCAGAGATGTGACACTCCTTGTAGGGCAGCATTTCCTGTCCTTTTAGTAACTGGATATGTGATGCTGGGAGGCTTTGGGTGTCTTAATTACCCTTGGAAAAGATGTAGTTTTGAATTCTTTTGACTAAACTGATGTCTTCGATAATTCTCTGTCAGTGCTTGCAGTTAGTGGGTAGAATCATTATATCCATAAAAGCAAATGCTATGAGTGATGCTGCTGAGGGGGGAGTATTTGGTTGGCTGGCTGTGATTATTTTTCCTGACATGTTTTGTTTCAGTGGGCCAAGCTCGGTACAGATGGAAAATGGTGACAAAGCAGTAGCAACTGTGACTGGTCTTCAGGTCGGTACCTATCGCTTCAGGCTGACGGTAAAAGATCAGCAGGGATTAAGCAGTGCATCCGTGCTCTCTGTTACTGTCAAGGAAGGTAAGGCTGGTTGTTACTACTTAGCAGGTGTTAGGCAACTTGCTAGTTAACTCGGTCACTGACAAATTGCAGAGAAAACCAGAAGAGAAATGGAAAAGAAATTGTTGTCATGTTCCGAGGATGTTAAAGAAGAGCTACTGCTGCTCTGAATACTGAATTATTATGAATACTTCATATGCTAAAGGATTATGAGTGGCAGTGATAGGATTACTTCACTTACTGCAATTTTTTTCCAAGTTAAAAATATCCAATATTAGCTGTAATAAAATACTCCAAAGCATTTTTTTGACTCTGGTATGTTTTTTTCATTAATAAGATGTTTCAATTTTATTTTCAAAATGAGGCTTTGAGCAATAAAGCAATTTTGTTGTAATATCCAAGAAATGAGGGCTCAACAGTTTCGACTTGGAAACGGAACATAAGCGCAGGTCTTAATGCTACTTGGCTTTGATACAGAGGAGCAGTTTTGTTTTACATGCATGCGGTAGGAGATGCTGTAGAGTGACAATGCTGGTCATGCAGGATCATGCTGCTGCTGCTGCTCATCGTGTCAGGAGTATCTCCTGATGGAGATTTCATAGCTTTCGACCTGTGTTTACTCCGGAGCCTGTAGGTGGTGATAATCCAACACCATTTATATGATGATACTAGAGCTGTCCCAGAATCCTAACTGTTGTCTGTCTTGGAAAAAGGCACCTTTGTTTCTAGAGAGAGAAACTGTAGAAACTGCAGAGCAAATGCACCTCAGTGAGGGAGCTGGACTTCATTTTCCCCATGTACATTGTTGGTTGAGCTATTCATTTAGCCCCTGTCTGGTCAGAAACACCTGGCAATAACTCTGCCCCCGTGTGTCTCGTGGTTCCATTTGGGCTGTGGAGTATAGCCACAGTGCATATATTCTGGTTACAGCCACAGGCTCAGTATTAAAATTACTCAGTGCTCTAAGAGCAAAGTTTAATCAGCTGGCTCACTGGGTAAAGGCAAGGGGATCACTTGTCTCCTTGAGAAGTCTGCTCTTTTCTGGAGCAAGAGAGTTACAGCCAATACAGCACATTTGACACCCTCCCAAAATGGAACAATTTACAGAATGATTTATATCCTACCTAACATCCAGACCAGCAAGCTATTTCATTCAGCATCACTGCTTCCTGGAGCTCTGCCTTTCCACTTAGTTTCTAAATAAAAGCCAGTGGTGATGTCAGATCTTGGCACACAGGTTTTCTTGAAAGATATTTTTTTCATGTTTCTTCAGCATTTCTTGGCCTGCACTTTTAATGCATGCTATAATTTCACTGCTAATGGTGAGCAAAAGCATTTGGGGACTATATTTACTCATTGTTTCCTTAATGTGCTTGACTTAAATACAAGCATTGTGAAAATGTAAGACCTTACATGAGCTTCATATTAGGTAGTAAATACCAGCCCTCAAGGAGGGGAGAGCCCAATGTCATGGTCTCATCGCAGGCAGTGTTTATAAGGCAGGTAGAAAGTCCTGTAGCTTAACTGAGAAAATCTGATCCATAAGTTACTGTGAGACTGTAAACAGAGCACCCCACAATGCTTTTTGTATCAGCTTTTTCTGAATAGTCCCTTTTAGTGATGCTCTTCTCATGGTGCAGTTCAAATTCGCAATGCCCATGCATCCTTTCCCAGTACCTTTGACATGAGGTTCTTGTGTTATGGTCGTCTGTGTGGTTATCAGGTAGAAAATTGCCCTTAGACTTGTAATGTGGACAGACTGTATGGGTGTATCAGCAATGGCATGCCACATCTCGCATGTTTTGAAAGCAAATCCTTCTCCTCCACTGTTTTTATGGCTAGAAACCAACAGTCCACCCCGGGCGCATGCTGGTGGGAAGCATGTTCTGGTGCTCCCCAATAACTCTGTTACCTTGGATGGCTCAAGGTCTGCTGATGACCAGGGGATTGTGTCATATTTGTGGATTCGGGATGGTCAGAGCCCGGCAGCTGGGGTAAGTTTCTCAAAGGCTGGAGCCAAATCCAGCTCTTCTCATGCACATAGTGGCTGCACTGCAGCAGGGCCAGCAGGTTGGTTCTGGTTTGTGTCTCCCCAGGTTTCTCCTAATGTTTTGGCTCAAGGGGCTCGTGGTGCTTTAAATGCAACTATGGAATATGTTCTAGGCAGGAGGGCTGCAGCAAGCTGGCCTTAGCTGGGAAATTCTTGAAATAGAAGAATTTAAAGATGTAGCCTTCAAAAAGTAATTAGCAATAGTGCAAGCTAATGTGTTTGAGAAGATATCTGAAATCCAGGTACCCAAAGGACGAAGTTCCTGACAAAGCAAGAAGCGCTCATAAAGATTGAGTGTCATAATGTTCAGTGTCTTTATAATAATATTTATTTATAATAATACCAGGTGAGGCAAAGCTTGCAGTGTGCTAGGATGATGAAAAGGGTGTTTGGTGCTGGATACCTTGCCTTGCGGAGAAGAGAAGAGAAATAGCAAACTATAATAGGGCTCCCAGAAGCAACTTTCATGGGAATGTGAAAAGGCCTAAAGAGGCCTAGCTTATCCATAGCTGGCAGAGAGGATAGCTGGAAATAAACTCCGAGGAAGAGAAACTATTTAGGATGCAAGAAGGCAGAACTGAGGAGACTGGAGTAAAACGGAGAAATAAAAACCTAAGTATAGCCTAGATGTTTCAAGCAGATGAGTACTTGGAAATGCCAGCTGTTTTGTCTGGAGGTTTTTTTTTGTGGAATGCATCTGCGCCATGCACACGTTCTCATTAACTCCCATTTCTGAGTCTGTGTTGCTTGGCTGTAGGCTGTGGGTGAGGGTTTAGTCAGGAGTGCCATTCTTCACGTGGGTCCCAAAAGTCAAAGCAAGGAGTTGTACCAGAGACCTGCAGCTGTAGCTGGTGGTGTAACCATGCTGGTGCCTTGTTTTTGCAGGAGGTGATACACGGCTCTGACCATGAGGCAGTCCTGCAGCTCACCAATCTGGTGGAAGGAATCTATACGTTTCACTTGAAAGTGACGGATGCCAAAGGAGACTCAGATATTGACACCGCTACTGTTGAAGTGCGGCCTGGTATGACAATTACAAGGTCATCTACAAGTTGCAAATACCTCATCTTCGTTCTCCTTTTAATTTACCTATTTATTTTAGTGCTGATAAGGTTCTGTCAAGTTAAAGCACAAAACAGCCAGCATTCTTTCTCCTTCTACCTTCGTATCATTGTTCCTGATAAGCCTGAGCCTGTAGAACCAGCTGGGCTGGGATTCTTCCCTCCCTGTTACCACCATTGCGTTGTTGGAAGTGCATAGTTACTTGAAAATCACGTTTCCTAGTTAATAGTTTCAATTAGTTGTTTTCTTTATTCCTTGTTGTGGTCTGTTTCTTCTTCTTTCTTTTTTTTTTTGGCTGCTAATTGGGTTGGCCTATGGATAGAGGTGGGAGCTCACATTGCAAAGGCTTCATATAGTATTGATTAACTCTCCCTGGCTTTTACTGATCCACGGAGTACTCGACTAGAATTTCTCTTGGTCTCTTTGCCATCTAATGGTATAATAAGAGTGGCTTTTTTTTTTTCTTTTTTTTTTTCTTCAGTTACGCTTTTTGTTTATGATGCTCTAATTAAGCCTAATTTGACGTTTTAATATTTGTTTAAAGTATGTTTTCAAGCCTGTTTTCTTCCTTCATTCTGAAGGTCAGGAACCAACCCAAATAACTTTCTGGGTTTCAAAATTTGGCTTTTCATTGTTTGCTATTGCTCATATACTGCTTTTAATTGTTGTTTATATGACTGATATGAGCAAAAGTTGAGGTTTCGTTTCCATCATGGCTCTGTAGTGAACTTGTTTGCCTGCTTCCTGGGTAATGGCTTTATTTCTGCTTCTCACTTCTTGAATGTAGCCAGGGTAATTGAGTCAGGTTCTCGTTGTATATCTGTGAAGCTTGTTTAGTTTGCAAACTGCTCTAGAAGTGCAAGTATTATTATTTAAGAAAATACCCTGCTTTTGAGGATAAGTATATTTGATGTTTTTCAAAGTGGCTATCTGCATTTGGACTCGTTCACACAATTGCATGGTGCCACGTGAGATCATATCACTGGCACAGAAGTCACGATTTGGGCTTACCAAAATGCTCCCACTTTGATAGCAGCATTTAAGGGAACTGATGTTGCCCTTCCATGTAAATACCTGATGACAGCATGAAGTGAAGACACTGAAAGTGTTTCTGAGCTGTTAACATAGCAAAACAGTTTTTAGGACCTACCAAGCTTGTTTCAGAGGGAACGTGAGAATATAGACTGAGCATTTCTTTTCCTAAGAGCACAGAAGGGTTTCATCATGAGAGTTATGGGTCCTATGTAGGTCCTGTGAAGTTTTAGTAAATGTTTTGAGTGCTGCATGCTGTCTTCAGTCAGTACTGCATGATTTGTCAGGCCCTGAAAGCAGAGCATGTTCTTCCCTCATCAGATCCCAAAAGAAGTGGCCTGGTGGAGCTGATCCTGCAGGTCGGAGTGGGGCAGCTGAGTGAGCAGCAGAAGGACACCCTGGTGAGGCAGCTGGCTGTGCTGCTCAATGTTTTGGATTCAGACATCAAAGTTCAGAAGATCCAAGCCTACTCGGATATAAGGTACAGAAATGCCCTGCTCTGCCAGCGAGATCTGTGATTCTCCCTTACTGTTCCGCAGCTCATACTTAGTTGCAAAGTCTTGTGCAATATATTACAAAAACTGTTATAGCTCTAAGAGTTGAATTTCTTCTGCAGTAGTGGAAAACTGAATTAAGCTTTCTGGAGCTCTGGGGCATGGAACTGATTTTATTTATTTATTGAAAAAAAAAAAGGAAAAGAAAAAAATCCACTATGTATTTTTTTTCTCCAAAGAAAGTGTGTGTATTTATTTCAGTGTCTTTGTTCCATATACTGCTGTTCTTCCCGAAGGCAAGCTGGAGCGAGACAGATGGCCCTCTCAAAGTGAAACAAGTATTATATTTCAAAATAAAGTTCCCGTTGTTTCTGATTAAATCTGATTATTTAATTCCCATTTTGTTCTTCTTCTCTAAGGTTTCAGTATTCTAAGTACACTATATGTGTCTTTTTTTTTAATCCATTAGGTAACTGGGGACAAGAAGACAAGATTTATAATTATTATTGTTGTTGTTATTATTATTATTATTATTATTTTGTAGAGAGATGCATATGCTTAAGTGACTGGCTTGCACTAGAAGGTTGTACACAGCCAGAGAGATTTTGTGGCATGATTGATGGAACCTGTTGACATGAGTTACCTTTTAAATTACTGCTTGTTAACGGATTGCTAGTTTAAAAAGCATTTTGACGGCTATACAGCTCTCCAGGCACCTCCTGAAATTCAAAAATAAAAGTAATTTAGAAGGTCCAGTATTCATAGCTGTGGTATTTTTAATCACAGCTTCCAATTACTGTTTTTTTCAGCTTAAAGATGTTCCCCAGGTGCCTAACACAGAATGAGATCAACACCATCCAACATAAAATAGCCTCTCACCTGAAACTCTCTCTGCTTCTCTTGCTTTTTGAGCTTTTCCTCTTCTTGAGTTCAGTTTTCTAAGCTTACTCCTACTGCTTCAGAGTGCCTCATGCCAGGTCCTGGATGCTTGTGGGGAAAGCAAGTGTTGCATGTGTGCTTGTCTTGGCCAAAGTGAGAGCAGGAAGATCATGGAGTGAATTGTGCTCTCTGTTCTCTCCCGTTATTTCTGTGAAACTGAGGTTTCTGGCTCAGACTGAGGTGCAGTGGCTGTGACTTTCAGATAGGGAACCTTGTCCCTGAATCGGTCACATCTGTCCATCGCAACGGTGACATTTGCTTTCCAGAAGCAATCAAAGCAAAGGCTGTGATGTGAGTGCCTGGCACAGCCGGTCCTTGACAGCGGTCCTGATCTTTGCTGTCCTCTCTGCAGCACAGCAGTGGTTTTCTACGTGCAGAACGGGCATCCTTCCAAGGTGATCAAGGCTTCCGACGTCTCCCGGACTCTGCACATGCAGCTTTTGAAAGAGAAGGCTGATTTTCTGCTTTTCAAAGTCCTGCGTGTTGACACGGCCGGTATGTTCTGCCCAGGGCTTCCTCCTCTTTGAGCCTTCCAGGCAGTGGGTTCACACGGCAACCCAGAGAAAGGCCCTGCTACCTGTCTGGGCTTGGGCTCATCTCTCTGAAAGATGGACAATACTTTAAATGCCTGTTTGTTTGTGATGAGCTGATGCTGGTTGCTTGTGTTCTTTTAAAAGTTGTGCTCCTGCCAATGATGGCTTATCCGTCCTGTATCAGGAGGAAGCTTTCAGGCCTGGGAAACAAGGAGAAGGATGGCCCTAGTCATGCCATGGTCTTATGTTGGAAGATTCACAAAACTTCTTACAGTGAGAATATAGAAATTTTTTCATGCTGCTCCCTTCAGGGCTTTAGTGCCTGATAATAGGCTTGTAATGTGATTTGTTTTTATCTGTGCAATCAAAATAGTCATGTTTTGTTGTATTATAACCCAGTCACCCAGTCCTCTAATGAGGTTATTTCCAGTGTAGAAAGACCCTACAGTTTCTTTATAGGGAGCATTTTCTGTTGCAGTTATTTTTAACAAGGATCTTTGGACTCCTCAGACTAACCTTATGTTAAGCTGCATCACTACCATGAACACTCTGTGAGACCCAGATATTAGATATGACTTCGTCATTGTTTGAAATCAGGAGATGATGATCCAAATGCCAACAGAATGAACGAGCTTTACCATTAAAATAGTCATCAACCTTCTGTAGCAGATCCTGTTGAAGGTGACTGCTCTGTTGTGCTTGGATTACCAAAATCTGCCTCACTGTTTTTCTTGATGTAGTAAATCGTCTACCCTAAGTTTTGAAAGGAATATGTTTTTATTTTATAAGGCTACATCGATCTAGCAACAGCTACTGTTATCGTTGTTTAGAGAATGTAAATGCTCTCGCCTTACCTCCTGTAATTCCATTTTGAAATACTGCATACATTTTTGCAACTGTTTTAATTATTGGTGTGAAGCTTGTTGTGATAGAACCCAAGAAGATTCATAATCCTCAGTTCTTGGGTACTTTAGAAGTTTTTACAAGTACATCAAAAAGAAACGAGCAGGCCTGAACCCTGCAGCTCCCATTCATCTTTACTTGGGCCAAACTGCTCTTAATTGACATACAAATTCAGTATTATTGTGTGTTGTATGAAATACTTTTATCTTTACAGACAAGTGTGTGTTGAACTGTAGATCGTTTTGAAACCTAACCACAAAGGAAAGGGGAATTAAAAAAAAAAGTGTTAAACTAGATGCTCCATCACCAGTCTGGTCCCACCGTGGGAGGATGTGTAACAGGTTGTCCATTGACCCAACTGACCTGCGTGTGTTTTGTTCTTAGCCTGTCTTTTAAAATGCTCTGGGCATGGGCACTGTGACCCCATAACGAAGCGTTGCATTTGTTACCAGCTGTGGATGGAAAACGTGATTCACAGTTACCTAAATGACGGAGAGAGCAATTGTGGTGAGTTTGGAAGCTGTTGTGGGAAGCCATACACTTTTTTGTGAGTCTGTCCACTATCTCCTAGTAGAATGGGAGTATTTAGGAGGTTGATGCAGAGAGACTAGCAACGTATTTCTATACAAAAGTTGAATAACATCTTGAAATTATCAAGGCTTTAAAGTAGCTCTATTCTAAAATGTTAAATATTTTAAAAGTTTTATTTTTAAAAAATTCTATCACTGGTTGAGGTAGAGGACAGATTACAAATATTGACTGTTATGGGAGAGATTGTGAGACAATGTGGAGCCAGATAGAAGACTTGTTTGGTGGTGTGTGCATTGCAAAGTTTTTGGAGAGTGTTTATCTGTTTTTTTTTTTTTTTTTTTTTTCCCAAAACTGAAGAATAAGTGACACTTCATATTCTCCTAAGTGGGTATTTGATATGTCAGTGCTAGGGGTATGGTCTGACTTAAAGAAACAGAGTACCTGTGGTCTGCACTGACAAATACAGTGAAGTTATAAAACCACAGCGCCTTGGCTCAATCGCCTCCACCATATCTGTCAGGGTGTCTATCACACCTGGGAAATGCAGGTTAGCTGTCTTGGCTTGATAATGTCTTTATTCTGCTGTGTAGCACACTTGCCAAATCAATTAAACCAAGTTGACATTGTATTGCACTCTCTATTTCAAATATTTAATAATTTTAACTTAACTAAGCTGGTCTTCTGCTTAAACCAAAGTCAAGCTGAACTTTTAGTATCAAGCAGACTTGGAGACACTTTGCCAAGTGATAACACTGGTCTTCAAGTAACCCTGTGAAAAATGGTAAGAAATGATAAAAAAGGGTAAGTGGGGTGCCATTTGCTACAGGCCATTAAGTGGCAGTGGGCCCCATGTCTGTGTGTTTTTGAGCAAAGATCATCAGCCAAACAGAAGGGGACAGTAGGGCCCAAGTCTGAGGCTAGGGCCTCCTGCAGCCCTGCTGTGTTACACAGTGTTGTGCACATGAGCATGGCACATATGGTAAGTAATTCTAGAATTGAGAATGGAGGGAGCTTCAAGTGGGAGCTTCACGTCACTGAATCACTCTCCTGTTTTGCTTGATGTGCAAATACAACAGTCTGTCACTAACCAGCTGCTCTCACAGAGCACCCATGAAGTGCCAGACAGAGGATGCCCTTATGTTCACTTCAGTCATCACCCTCTGGGCCCTCTTCACTGCCAGATGCTCTGTAGCCTTTGTCTCTCTTGAGGCAGCAAAAGGCATTGGGGTGGGAGGGAAGTTCCTCCACCACTTGTGTGTATGTGATCTGGAAGCTTACAAATATTCAGGGATTCTTGTGGGAATACAAAGGTGCTTAGTCAGTTCTTCTGAGTTCCTGTAGAAACTCCCTGTAGAAACTCTAGAAACAGCTGCTTTAGAAATGATTGTATCAATGCTGCTTTACAGAGCACTACGTTTCTTTTTCAGAATGGAGCATACTATACGTGACTGTGTCTGCTTTTATTTTGCTTGTGGTCACAATAGGGCTTGCCTGGTTCTGCATCTGCTGCTGCAAAAGGTACGTGGTTTGAGTTGCTCTTTGGTGAGGCATATGCAAGAGCTCCATTTGCCTGGAGTTTGTGCTCAAGCATAAATGTTGCAGTTGAATTGTGGGGTCTGGAAGTGCTTCTCTAGATGCTGCTGGAGAATCAGTCTCTGTCTTGGAGAAGAGCATGTTCAAAAGAAGAAAATGAGAAAAGGAAAAGGGGGAAGAAAAAGAGAGAGAGAGTGGGGTGGGAGGAAACTTTGGAAAGGAAAACCAGGAAAATGCTTGAATATAAGAGCATGTTCTGGGAGGTGCTCCCTTGGTTGCATGTGTCAACATCCTTCTTTCTGCCCTGAAATCCTTTATGTCCTTCCATCCAGTACAGCAGTTCTGTCTCTTTTCTCTACAAATAAACAGTGGGGTAACTTCAACAAACAGCTAAAACTGCACTTGGAGATGATGGTGTCTGTAGCATTGTGGAAGTGAATGCTGAGAAAGGATTTAAATGAGGAAAGAATAGATGGACTTTTTGCTTACAGATTTTTTTTTGCTTTTGGTTTTTGCTTTGCTTCCCCATATGAAGGAGGGACTAACTTCGATTTTAGACTGGCTTTCCCTGAAAGCATAATCAGTAAAATTCCATTGAAAACTCTTTATTAAAAAAAAATGGGTCAAACCAGTTTCTGCAGAAATTTTATCTGGAACCAAATGAACACGTCTGGCTTGTGTCTGTGAAACTGAGCAAACTGAGCCCTTGTGTCCTAGGAAAGGAAGCAAGTGATGCTCACTTTCTTCGTCTTTGTATATCAGAGGAGATATACCTTGTATAAAGAGGAGAGAGAGAGAGAAATATATTACATTTCTCTCCCTCGGTCCAGATGGTGCTACTGCTTTAAGCAGGTATAAAGTGGAACAACTCTTTTGGAGTAGAGGTGAGGTAGCAAAAAGTGTTTTGTCTTTGTATATGGGGTACATAGCTATATGTATGAAGAGACGGAGAGGGAATACACATTATGGGTGTATAAGACAACTAAATATCCTTGTAATAACTTTTTCGTTTTTTTTTTTTTTTTTTTTTTTAGCAGGAAGAGGACAAAGATAAGAAAGAAAACCAAATACACCATTCTAGATAACATAGATGAGCAGGAGAGAATGGAGCTACGACCCAAGTATGGTGAGAGCTTTGTCTTTCAGTTGGGATTTCTTTAGGTAGTGAATTTTTAAGTTTGCAGACAGTGTATTTGAATTGATGTCCACAGTGTAGAGGCTCCCAGAAGCTGGACTACAAGGCTGGAGAGGATAGAGGCAAGCATAGATGGTGAAATGGTTAGGAGTGATTGGCTTCTTTACGTGCTTGAGAGCCTAGGCTCAGGCACTGCTTTGTTTGTTTGTTTTGTTAATTTTTAAAACATGTAAATGTCCCAAAGATTTTCTCCATCTAAACACCTTCCCTGCCTCTCATCTGTTTCTTGAAAGTTGTAGTTGTTGCTTTAATGGATGCACAGCAAATCTTCCTGCTCCATAGGCATCCTGTTACACATCAGCGAACTGGACCATCACCCTCCATGTACTCCTCTATTTTTGTTGGTTTACCTTAGTTTCAGCTAGTTTAGCAGGGGAAATACTAGAATCCAGTGGAAGAAAATCATCCCAAGTAACTGCTGTCCTAAAAAGAAATAAGTAACACTCCTGCAGAAACCAGGACCTTTTGTTGTCAGGTGCTTCAATCAGACAGCTGAGTGGCCGGATTTCTTAGAGTCAAGAAGGGGACGAGGGATGTGCTAAAATCCTCTAATTGTCCCTCGTTTAAATGCACATATTCACATTTCAGAGTCATAAACTCATGAAGTGAAGGTTGAGGATCAAGCTAACAGTACTGGTACCTATGAGGCCAGTCTTTGGTATGGGGAGATGACAATGGTGCAAGTTAGCTGGACAGCTGAGGGTATTTTCACGTGTTGCATGTCACAGTGAGGAGTAGATGTTTAAACTGTAAATAAAATTTAACCTTTCTTAAGACCTTGTTTTTCTTGTTTATTGTCAGGTATAAAACACAGAAGTACAGAACACAATTCCAGTCTGATGGTCTCTGAATCAGAGTTTGACAGTGATCAGGACACTATCTTCAGCAGAGAAAAGATTGAAAGAGAGAATCCTAAAGCCCTCATGAATGGATCCATCAGAAACGGAGTTTCCTTCAACTACAGCTCCAAAGACAGATAACTGAATGAGAGTAAAAGCACAGGACACACTGGTCCAACACATTCCAAAAAGTTGGTCCACCTCTTTGTTTTTCCACAATCAAAAGCTTCCTCAAATATCAACAA